TGAGATGCCATCCCTCTCTGCCCTGTTGGCCAGGCTTCACTGCTGATGGACTGCCTGGCAGCTTCACCACTGACTCCAGAAAAAGCAGAGTGGATTTGTGAGAAAGCAAAGTGAAGTGTGAAACGTGATACGGGTAGTGCCTGACACAAATGAACACATTCCCTGTTCTGTGGAGTTTCAGTGCAAAAACCTCTCTCCATTCATCTCCCTCCTGCCTCCCCCTTCCCCATCCCCTGCTGCCCAGGGAGCCCCAGGAACGGGAATATTGGCAGTAAACTCAGCTCCACAAAACAGGCTGGGGAAAAAAAGAGAAACATAACACCATCACTTCCTATTTCTTTCTCTTTCCCTCTGCATCAAAGCCCAGGCTGACTGTTAGGAATGTTCAAAATGAATAAATAAAGCACAGGAACCCCCCCACCCCTGCTTCAGGAGTCTCATTCACTCACCATGAAGCTTGGCCAATTCCTTTTCTGACAGTACTCGAGTCAGCAGGCAGAGCAAGAAGATCATTCAAAGCTAATCAGTAAAGTGTAAACCTATTATGAAAGCACATTTACCCCTCGCTGCCTCCTCCCTCCCGAAAACCCATCCCCAAATCTGTGGGAATAACACACAGCCTCCATAAAAGTTGCTATTACTTAGATCCCCTGTTATTAGGTCAGTGATGCCACTGATGAAATGCTCCCCAGAGGTCTGAGCAGTGGCAGATAAATCCTGCAAGAAATTCATGGAGTAATTTGTTACAGCTCGAGGGCATGAGGCACATCACAGCAGAGCCTGTGCATGAGGCTCTCCCCTGTGATTCTGGAGGCCATCTCTCGTAATAAGAACCTCATCTTGATTTCTCGTCCTTTGTATTGATTTCTGTCAGAAAAGACTTGTCTTAGACAAAGATACTGCTGTATTTCTCTGCATAATAAAGGGATCCTTCTCCCCTTTTCTGCCCACCCTTTTTTGAAATTCATTTTAGGGATTACTCTAACAAGACTCGTTATTTGGGAACTGGTTTATTCACAGTGGATAAAGAGTTGAGAAGATGATAACTGGCTTTGCATATTCAGTGCAAAACCTTAAATGTGAAGTTAGAGAAGAATGGGTTTGGTTTGGAACAGTAAAGAAAATTGAAGCTAAAACCTCAGCCCTGCTATATTTTAATATGAAAGTCTGTTATTAATTGAATGGATGTGTGAGACTCAGGTGATTACCATCCAGACTCAGATCTATATAATCATAGCAACTGCTAATTTTGGATCATTTGCACTCCTGCTCTATGAATTCTCTTGGGAAAAAAAAAAAAAAAAGAAGGGCAGGTCTGTAGGTAAACTGCATGATGCTTCTTGACAAAGCTTTCAAAAAATAAAAATATTATTTTTCTTTTCTAGTATGACTGGACAAGGTCACATGGAAATCTGGAAGGCTTTATGTGAATAATTTTCAAGCCAAAAAAGAGCAGCTCCACAGAAGTCAACCCAGGTAAACTGATGGTAAGGCTGAAAAATGCAATGCTACATCAAAATTATTTTATCAGCTCTGCAGTAGGACTGATATAAGCAACTGGAACAATTTGATTTAGTCTATTTCTTTGGGTTTTGTTTTCCTTGGCTTTTTTATAACCTCTCTTCCTAAGAAGCTGATTTGGGTCTTGAAATGACAGTAGCTGTTCCCTTGTGCAATGAAAGCGATAAATATTTACAGCAGTTCTTACAAGTTGAGAAATTTAATATGTGCTCATTGCTTTTGTAATCTAACAGTAACTGTGCTGAAAGACAATACCTGCTAATTGTATTTTCTATCACAGTCTTTTCAGAATGAAGGATAAAATATGGAAGTTTGGGTTTACTTTCTACTCCATACAGCAAAATTTATTCAAAAGAATCTCTGTTCCCCTTTATCTGTTTATTTAATAGACTGTGGAAAATGGCAAACTCTGTCGAAAAGCCTAGTTGAAGAATAATTTATAAGCTACATTTAGCTGTTGATCTCACAGACTGGCTTAGGGGAGAGCCAAAATATATCCTGGCAGGTAATAACTAATGCAGATCTTGACACTTCAGACCTGGCTCTCTTTTGAGCAGGACACAGCTCCCAGTTCTCTGGCAGGAAAGTCTGGCTCTGCAGGACATACACACTCTCCCCTTGTGAGGAAATATGCTGATCTTTTTGTTGTTTTTAAAGCTATTTTGGATGCCAGTGAATGTGTTTGTGGGGAAGTGATTGTGGTCACTTAGACAGAGCCTGCTGTGAAGAGCAGGACTGCAGGCAGCTCGCTCTGATTCCTCTCTGCTCTGTAAATCCCTGCCTCACTCAGCCAGATTGAAATGAACTCCAGCACTGGGCCATGTCCAGCCTGTGCTGGAGCTGATGGCAGCTCTCCCACTGCCTTCACTGGGGGCACAATTTCATCTGCTAAATCACCAAAAGAGCTTTCGTCAATGAGAGCTGTCTGGTCTTGGCTGAACCGTGCACTGCTGGTTTTTAGGGATCATGACAGACAGCTCATTTGAAAGAAGAGAGTTACAGGGACTAGGATGGGGCTGGGAGCAACCTGGCCTAGTGGAAACTGTCCCTGCCCATGGAATGAGTTGAGCTTGAAGTTCCCTTCCAGCCCAAACCATTTTGGGCTTCTCTGATCAAACACTGACTGCAACAAGTGTGCCACTGTCCCTCTGCCACCACCAGTGACCTTGCTCTCAGGCAGACCACAGAACTGCACATCTTGAGCCAAAAAGCAGTTTTAAGCCTAATCAGCCCGTTTTGATAGAAAATGGTTAATTGTTAAAATATTACATTGCTTCAGATGGCTGGGTTATTGTACAAGGTTGGAAGGGAGATGTTTTCTCACCCTGTCTCAAATGCAGCAGAGCAAGCCTGATTCGAGGCTTATCTCTAAGCACCCTGTGGGTGTATCTTAGTCCCATCTAATATAATCCCTTGCTCAGGATTATCCATAAAGTTTCTCAAAATCAGAAGATGTGGTGCTTATATTCCAACATCTGCTTTAATCTTTGTTAATTTTCAAATCTAGATGAGATTCATGACAACTGAACCTGACTAGGCAGGCCAGAAAAGGGTAGCTAAGGAACCCTTATAGTTTGTTTAATCAGGTATTCATATGCTGGGCTACTGATGTGTGCCTCTAGCCTTGAGTCTCACCTAAAGTTGAGATAGAAGTGTAGCAAGGAAGGCCCATTCTGCTTGTCAGGGCTACAAAAAGAAAGCTCAGCACTTTACATTCCACCCTAGACAGGTACATGAGACTGAGGGCTCCCTGCATTAGGCAGCAGGAGTTTTGACAAACTGCCCTCTCAGCCATCCCTCTCCACCTCCCTCCACTGAACCATGGCTTCAGCTTCCTCAAATGATCCTTTGGATGGCTTAGGCTTCTGGCTGGCTCTGCTGTTAAGTGTCTCTGTGGACCAGATTTAAGTTCTAATAGTGTCTCATAATGTCTTTAAAGAGGTTTATGGCTCAGCCTGGTTCTCTGGGAGATTGCCTGTTCCCTGCTAATCTGCTACAGAAACATTGCCATTGGTTCCTGCAGTGTTTCAGGGAGTCCTCCCCCAGCTCCACAGCCAAGTTAATTGGTCACGATTGACCTATGGTAGAGATTGACTATTAGGTGAGGAATATTAAGCAAAGGGAATAAGATCCTCCTGTAGCTCAGAACATGCTGGGAGCTGTGGGGAATGGCAGGAAATGGCAGCTCAAGGAGTGTGCAGAGAAGTCCCTGGGAGAGGGTTGATTTAGGGAATGGGAAAGTGCTTTGCAATAACTGAGGTTTGTAAAACCAGCAGCTCTTTCTAAAGGAGAATAAAAAAACACTGGAGTCTTGAGAGTCTGTAAGAGGCAAAAGTGCAAGAAAGAATAGAAATAGGTTGTGGTAGACCTGTGTGTGGTGAGTGCTATTTTTGATCATTCTTTTTAACAAATACTTCACTGCAGCACTGTAGCACAGCTGCCCAAACCTGATTGAAGGAGTCAAGGAACAAACAGGGCAGGATTTCATCAGAATACATTTGTGTTTCCAACTGGAAACTGCATGCTGAAGGCAAGTCCAGTAGCCTGGGCAAACACTGAAAGATTAATGGATATGACACTGGTCCACAGGACAAATATGAGCCCTGTAACATCACTGAGCAGTTCAAGACACAAAAACAGTTTGCAGAACAGCTTTATGCAGAGCAAATGAAACCTTGCTGCCAAATCCTGGAAGTTTTGGTTGTTGCTTCCCAATTTACTTTTACATACTAATCCTCTGGATGGGGTAAATCCATAAAATTATAAAACCAAGCTATATTCAAGAGGTTTCCAGTGTCAGAATTGCCAAGCTCAAAACTTCTTCAGCTGAAGTAAACTTCCTGAGAGAAGTAGAGGTGTCAGCACTGGGTTTAAAACTGTGTAAGTATGTGCTTAACTCTACTGAGACGTGAAGTTTCACTGAGATCAGCAGAGTGAAGTTACATTTGGAGGAGTGGCTCCAAGGTCAGGCCTCAAGAACAAAAGTGCTTCAGATTCATGTGGGCTGCTGTATAATACCAGCAGCAGGATGGCAGTCACAGTGACGTGATGTGATTTGCTATGGCAAATAATGGTACTTCCATCTCATGGAAGAGTGAGCTCTCTCTCTTAAACCTCATGTACTCACACGGGGAGAAAAGTCACTGTTCCTGGAGTTTAGAGTGTGCTGCTTGTAATTCCAAAGACTGAGCCCAAGGTAATGTGCAACGTGAAGGTGTCCCACTGGAATGTTTGTGGACCTGATCCACAGCCAGTGACTGAAGGAGAACCTCTGGCCCCTGCCAGGAGCAATGCCTGGTCTGGTCTCCCCAGTCAGGAATCCTGCAGCTCAGGATTTGGGCTTTGCAGCTGGTGCAGAACTAACTCCTCATCTGGGACTGGCACCACTGCCTTAAAGACGGATTTTGCAGTTTGTAAGAACTCAAAATCAGGTTCTTTGGGGCAAATGGAGTGAGGAAGGGCTAAGTGTTTCTGCTCACCGGCACTCGACGAAGCACTGGGTGATCTGGTCCTGAAGGGTTTCCTTGATGTGGGACCCCTCTGCTTCCCTCAGCTCTTGTCTGAAGGAAAAGTCCTCTCTTTCCTGGACTTCACCTTGCAGGACATTTGCTTTCTGCAAACTGATCCTTGCCTCCACGTCAGGAGGCAGGCTCTGAAAACGAGAGGAGAAAATAAAAGTTATGAATGAAAAGAAACTTAATATTTACTGGAATGCCAGGTTGACAGTGAATCTCAGCTTAAGCCTTAATTTACTTGCAGGAAGCCAGGAAAAAAACCAACCCTGAGCTCATAAAAAGTGCCTGGATGCACACAATGGTCTATTGTTGGTATTTCAGCATTAATTAACAACATTGCAATGTACAAAAACAACCTTTTCAGCGTGGGATCCCGGCATCTCAATGAGACAGGTGAGAAAGCTGTTGTTCTGCAAATGCCAGCTTTATCCATGTCAGAAGGGTGCCAGAGAATTTTTTAATTGAATTTTCAAATGTCTGGACTTCCCATTGGTGCTTTTAAATTAGCCAGTATTGTTTTTAATTTGTGCACTGAAATTTTTACATGCACTGCGTGGTCAGTGGTTTCCTGGTATTTTGTTGCAGCTGGTGAGACTCCTTTCGGAAATCGACTTCCCTTGAAGAACAACAACAACAAAGAAATAAACAACCCCCCCAAGCACTGTAACAAAAATCACAGCTCCCCAAGATTCCCATGATCTAAAAACCTTGGAAAGAAGGGCTTCTCAGCCAGTTTCAAGTCTTAGAATAATTTCTGCTCTGTGATTGATTTTACACATGTAGTGTGAAGGAGAAAAATGAAAGTCTTTCTGGTATTCAAATACAGAAGCATGAAAAAGCCCATCTGTGTGGGTGGGCTGAAACTCCGTATTTTTCACCTTACAATCATTGATAAAGTTAAGATGTTCCTAGTGTTTTATGAGCTTTTGCTACCTTGCAAGTGTAGAGAAAAATCTATTTTAAAGATTAATTTGTGAACTAGCTTTGTCATTTTAGGTTTTGGGTTTTCTTAATTCTGGAACAAATTGTATTTTTCATGTACTTGGGAATTATTAATCATATTGTCTGATGGTGCATGGCAAATTTAAGAAGGGAAAAGAGGAGAAAATATGACAATCTGGTTTTGTAGCATGATTTTATTACTTTTCAAAGTTAGTGACTGATATAGGTGGCAGCTTATGTGAACAAAAGCTTGGTTTGCATGAAAATGAACCCCAATATAATTTTGCTCTGGCCTTTCAACTTCAGAGTATATAGAAATTGTCCTTAACTGGCACATCTCAGACTAATCCAGTATTGCATTCTTCTTGCTCTGGTGATGTATTTTCTGCTGTGTTCCAAGTCCCAGTTCCAGAGGCCTCCCGCAAAGACAAAAAGTTCTGTCAAAGCTTTGGCCAGCTTGTATTTAAGATCTGTTATTCTCTGTTTTTCCATGCTTCCACCAGGTTCCAAAAATCACTAATAAGTGCCAAGCAAATTTGGTTTCAGCGAGCACCCAGAGGGATCCCACAGTGTCCAAAGCAAGCACAGAGGCCCCATTCAGGAAAGCAATTTACTGCCTACCCTGCATCTGGGATGTGTGACTCTCACTGTGCTCCAGGAATCGGTCAAGGCCACCAGGGAGAAAATATTCAGGAGGAAATAAGAGCAGCAGTGTGGTTTTGAAAGGTGGCTGCACATGTTCCCGTCCTGAATATGTGACCCCAAGCTCTGCCTTTTAGCCTGAGATGTTACCTTTGCTCAATTCCCAGTTTTCAGGGAAGTCAAGTGTTTCCAATCTTCCCCCTCACCAGCACCTATTTATAAGTACAACACAGCTACTATTAACAGTGTTTATTTGTATTTCACCATTGTCTGCCATGCTGATGTTAAATGAAGCCCAGGACAGCCAGATGTGATGGTGCTCTCTCAGGGGCTCGTTTGGAAACCAGAGGAGCCCCCACAAGGCCTGTTTTCCAGACTGACATCCAAAACCAGCTCCTCTCTTTGTCTCCCTACAGCAATCCTCAGGGGATTCCTGAGAAATTCCCATCAGATGGGCATGAGGGTGCCTGCAGCTTTAGGAAGGCTCATCTGTGGCTGATGGAGAGAGACAGGCTCCTCTCCAGCACAGCCTGAACACTTAAAGGTGAAATGGCACCAAGTGACCAGTTCATTGGGGCTGGGAAGGATCAGCTCCTGCACCACCTCAACTGCTGGGTGCATGATCCCTCCCTTCTGCTCAGGCTCTGGCACTCACCTGAGTCTGCAGTGAACTGCTTCAGCTCCCTAGAACGTGGAAAAGAATCCATTTTGTCTTTTCCTCTCCTCCCACCTCCTCAGGTTACTCATTTCCCACTGTAGCAAGGTGGATCAGCCAGTCAAGGAGCAGCTGAGGTCCACAGCAAGGGAAGTGGTGGACAGTGGGAGCAGACCAATGTGGGGAGCAGCAGCACAGGCAGCAGAGCTCCTCCTTCCAATCTTTGCAGCTCCTCTAAGCTGCTCTCCTCTGAATCTTGAGGGAGTCTTGGACGACCAGTTTCTCCCACTGTGAATTTATTCAGCCTCCCTTTCACCAGTCCCAAAGTCAGATGAAGTAAGAGCTGTTTGAACTGGCAAGCAGGAGGTGCCAACATAAGATCAGCAGTAGGGAATTCTTATCTCAAAAAGTGAATTGCTACAGCCCATATCTACACTTGAGCCCAGAGTCATGAAGCTGCTGTGGACACAGTCCAGGTAGCTCTGAACCAGCTGGCTCAGATGCTGATAAAACAAGGCCACGGGATATGTTCTGGTTGGCAAAACCCAGCCAAGCCCTGAGTATTTGTGCAGCTCCCTGTCTGAGCACTATTCAGTTATCAATACATCTGCTAATGGGAGTTTATGAGCTGTACTCAGCACCAAGTACAAGGCTGAAGTACAGATATAAACCTGCAGAACAGCTTGTGAGAAGCTCTGTTGCATTTACCCTTTTTTTCTTATTCTTTAATTTTCTTTTCCAGAGTCTGTTTTACTACAAGAAAACAGAAGAAATGAGAACTACTTCTAGAACAAGACTCCAGCCATTCACCTTCAACATTTCCCTAAAGAAAAGCATGAAAGAGAATAGGGCAAGTTGATGACTCTGTGTTCTCGTCTTTTCCTCCAGTCCTCCTGATTTCTTCTTTGGCAATAACACACTCCAGCTGTGATGGGCGAGGGGAGCACCAAATGAAGAGCCCAGCTGAACTGGCTGTGATAAATGAGGCCTGAAGGACTCAGGGCTGGCTAATGTGGAACAGACACAGCATGCCCTGCTTATGGAAAGAGTAGGAGGCCAGCACATGTCAGGAAGGTAAGGCTGACTCCTGCTCTGGGGGAGGAGGAAAGCACTGACTGGCAGTGAGGGCCTCATGCCATGGACATTTGATTTTTAAATAAAACAGCACAGGTGAATGTACAGCTGGCTTGACTTTCTGTTCTGTCACTTTGAAATCAATGCAGTCATGTAAACCAAAAATGAACGGACTTGAGAAAAACAAGGATGAGAGACATCCAAAGAATTTGTGTACCTGGGCTTACAAGTGAAATGGAGACTATTTTAAAAACAGTTTCCTTGGACTATAAGAACTGATCCAAGCGTGTGGATGCTCACGGAAGTGAATTAATTGATAAATTCGGGAGAGAACAAGATGAACTAGACAAAACTAAGCAACATAACCAAAATACAGTCACTGGAGCAGTGGGAGCTGCTGAAGTGATGTAACAAGATGTCCAGAGGATGGAGGTGTCAGTTCTCTAACATTTGTCAAGAATTTTCATAGAAAATGTTTTTCTTCTGTCGAGTAAATGATGATATAAAATATTTTAGACTATTAAAACACTTGAAAATAAGCTATGAATGGCATAACTGATACCTTCCAGCTTTGCAACTGAAGAAAGCTGCTCTGTTAATCTTGTTTTATTTTGTCCACAGCGTTCTTGACCTAATCACAGAAGTATGTGTCACCCTAAACTTCACCGGCTTCAGAGTTTAACACATTCCTAACCCTGTCTCAGGAATGAGGAGCCAACTGCACAACCTGGGGCCTTGTGTTCATCTTCAGGCGCTCTTGGGCTTTCAAAAGGAGACAGAATCTCTCCAACAGCCCTGATGGAGGTTCTGTTCTCTTCTCAACAAGCAGAACTGAAAAGAAAATAGGTCTGAAAAAGATTTGGCCATCTGAAGATGCAAGAGGGAGTAGGAAGTGAAATGGCTGGAGAGTGCCAAGAGAGAGGATGAATTCCAACAGCCCCAGCAGGAATGCTTCCCTGTGCCTTACAGTGTCATGGAAGAGCTTTCCATGTTTCCACATGGCTGTTGTGGAGCTCTGAAGTTATCCTGAGTGTGCTTCCATAGCCCTCTAATGTGCATGGAAGGAAGGCAAAAGCCAATTTATTTCTAACGTCCCTTCTCTCAGCGCCTCTAATGTTCCTGCTTCTGAATCAAAGGGAGGCATTCTCCAGGAAGATGCTAATAAATAGCTTTTCCTTGGGGGAAGAAGCATTTTCCCATCTTTAAGAAATTTCTCTGGCCATGTGAAATTCAAATTTGTTAACTTGTCCTACAAACAGCAACTCATTTAGAAACAAATTACAAATATTAGATGGAGACAGTGAACTTGATAATGCAATGCTGCCACATCAGTTGTAGAATAATGCATCTTAATGAAGGCTTCCCATGTGAATAAACCATTATATTTACAAGCTTTTCACAGTTAATGACCCAGAACTGGATAACGAAACTCACATTTTTAGTGTGGTCCTCTGTCAGCAAAAGTATACATATTAATAATTGATGTTGCTGTAAAAATAGGACATAATATTAAGATTCCTGAGTTTGTGGGAAAATAGAACTGCATGGTCCATTAACTTAAAAGGCTTATCTAATGTTTGATGGGCTTTGTCTTTAAAATCCTTGTTTAAATTAATAAGGCAAAATGGACATTTGTCTAAAAGAGACTTTTATTCCAACTCATCAGTCATGAGTGTGCTGATAAGATTCTTCTGTTCTGTTCTTTACTCGTTCCCCAAAAGAATTTGGGTTTTAGGGAAGGGGACAATGCACCAGTAGAAGGGAGAAGAGATTCCCTAGACCTGCCAGGTAAGTCACTGGGATGAAGGAGATTCCCTACACTTC